GAAGACTGGGAAAAGGCATGAAGATTGGATTAGATTAGACTTCTGAAGAAAGAGGCCAGGTGACAAAAGGATTGCAAAGCCCTCGTGGCAGGGCTACAGGCAAGGGACAGCACCTGTGCCAAAAAAAGCCCAAGCTCTCCAAATGCAGGAGAACGAGGGCATCAGATAGACAACCCATACGGGTCTCTCTCAGCTGAGGCCCTTCAGAGCTCCCAGCCTTCCCAGCTCTCTAGCCCACTCCCATCCTCAGAAGTGTTTTCTTTCTCCACAAGCCATTTCTTGTTTTACCATTATCTGTATGTCCCTGGTCCACTTGTTCATTCAGGGACATGAAGAATCTGGAAATCTCAGCAGGTGTCTTCCGTACTCCAATCCACACCTACCACAAGGTGAGGCTGTACCTGAAGGAGCCATACCTCCAAAGGATCCCTTGAACACTGACACCAGGGGGTTGGGGTGGGTGGGTGGGGGTGCTATGGGATTTGGAGCGAGCAGTTAGGGCTGCTGTGCTCACCCTGGATTCCAGGAGTCCATTGGGAAGACTCAGAACAGGACAGGGGAGATGAAGGAGGTCAGCACAGAGCCATCTGAGGACTCTGGTGGACTAGAGTTCTTCACATAAAGCTTAAGAGCACTGTGCTTTAGGGGATAAAGTGTTCCTGGCTTACCCTAAGGCAGGTGGCTTGGAACCATGAGTTTGACTCAGGTAATGACTGGATCTTTGGTGCAATGAAGGGTGTCTCACACTGGACTTGTCTGACAGTTTAGGTGACTCACTGGCTAAAATGACAGCCATCTGGGGTGAAGAATGGGGACAGATAAGTCATCCCAGCACCTCTGCCCAGCAGGGTGTCCCCCAAACAGTGGGTGTCACCGTGTTTGTGAACATTGTTTTCAGCACCATTTTTAAAATTAATGAACGCATCATCCCAGCACAGTTCAAATGACACAGCAAAGCAAACTGTCATTTCTTTAACAATGGATGCAAACCTGTATTTACGAAAGAGGCTGTTACAATCATCATTACCATGATGACTTCTAAATTATACATGGAAATGGTTTGAGTTTGTGCGAGACTCGGGCGGGCAGCTGAAATTAATTGCATATGAAGTTAGCATTTAAGGAAATGAAAATAGTCCTGAGGAGCCACCAGAAGAATAAGGATTACGCAAATGACAGACAGAGAAAGGCTCATTTTCCCAACAGTCCTCCTGTAGACACTCTAGCTAAAGGCTGGGTCCCAGAGTCCCACAAGGAGTGAAGCTTCCTTGTGGGAAGTCCCCTGGCTCATCCTTTCAACGAGTTGGCAGCTTTCTTTCATTTTTAAGATTTATTTTTATTTTTAAAAATTTGTGTGCATGTGTGTGTACTCAACAGACTCAGAAGGGGGCGTTGGATCTCCTGAAGTTGGAGTTGTAGGTTGTGAGCTGCCCAAAGTGGGTGCTAGGAAGTGAGCCTGGGTCCTCTGCAAGAACACAGAGAGCTTATTCACTGAGCCATCTCTTGAACCCCTGACTTATCAATTCCAGGATCAATGAAAACGAGCCAAAACATTGAGGCTACCATGAGGAAGAGGAGACTCGGAGGAGGGTCAATACAGAGAAGTCAGATGTATCCCTTTCCCACACCTATTCTTGCCTGTGGAAGAGAAGCAAGGCATAGCACTTACCCATGATCCCTGGGCTGGCCAGAAAGGTGGTGCCAGCCTCATGGTACTGAAGGGATCAGATGTTCTGAAGGGGTCACCACACATCCCCAAGGGCTGACTGGGCCTGGTGACCACTGGCAGCACATATGGCCTGGATGAAGCAGGGGAGAGTCCTTGACACAGCTTCTAAATAGAACACTCAAGCTTACTCTAGGATAGGCCCTGAGAGCTAAAGGTGGTCCTCCTTGTCCTTGGCTAGAGGGTGGTGCTGCTAGACAGAAACACCACCCCTTTATCCCTGCTTCCCCTCTGGAACCTCAGCTTTCTTGTGCAGCAGACTCCTCTTTTTGTAAGAGTAGCAGGTGTGTGGAGCCTGGGGAGGCTGCTTGGTAGAAGGACCCTGAGTTTGAGCTGGGTCCACCCTTTCTAGTGACTGATCTCAAAGCACACAGCCAAAACCTCTCGTGGCTTCATTTTCTCAACTTGTGGGTGCAGGTCAAGTTAGCTAGCCTCCTGGGACCCCCAGGGAGGGAAAAATAACGCAAAGGACTTCTAATAACAGCCAGCACGGTCAGCGTTGCACCAGGGTGACAACGGCTGTCCCGATGCCCGAACAAACCACACTCACTGAAGGCTGCCATGATGGCGTTAGAGTTAATGGACAAGTGCAAACAATAGTGCCCTCCCCAACTCCAACGGGTGCTGTAGCCCAACTGAAAGAACCCCTTGCTTCAGTTCTTTCTTTGGTACCCGCACTCTCATGGGGCACAGCTTTTGCGCAGAACTGTTGGAAGGAAGCTGTGTTGCGTGCACAGTCCATTCATTCTTGCTTCTAAACGGGAACAGCTTGTTTCCTCTAAAATTCCCAGCTCACATGCTCCTCTTAGACGTGGAGAAGAGCCCCATGCACGAGTTCAGAGCAGATGAGAAGCAAATACATGAAGAACCCCACTGGCTTATGACCATTCTGCTTGAAACTGAGAGAGAAGTAGACACACAGGAACAAGGCAAACGAGGAAATTCTCCCCACGGGTGCAGCTTTCATGGCCCGCTCACTCCCTGGCAGGTGGAGGCTGATTCATGGGCATGAGAGTTGAGCCAGGATGCAAGCATACAGAGGTTGCTCTCCAAGCTGCAGGGTGTGAGATCAAAAAAATACGGCATTCTGGCTTTGCTCTCTTCCTACCTGTCCATCATCCGAAGCCTGTGTCTTCTGCTCTTGGCACAAAACTTTGTCCTCCTCTGCTACCATGATGGTGGTGGCACAGAGACGGTCTGTAATACTGTTAGCAGGATTGTTCAGAATCTCAAGCCCACAGCTGGGTGTGGTGATATATACTTTGATTCTAGCACTGAGGAAGTAGAGGCAAGTAGATCTCTGAGTTCAAGGCCAGCTGGAGCTATATAGAAGAACGACATCAAAACAAAACAAATCAAAACAAAACAAAACCAAAACAAAAACCCTGAAAATCAAACAAAACAAAACAAAAAAAAACACCTCAAGCCTAAGTTTAAAGGTAAGAATAAAGGCATAAAGCAGGAGAGACAGGAGGCCCATGGTCTAGCAAAAAACAGGCCCTCCTTAGGAGAGGACTCTCGTGCTGACAGAAAGGTTCAAGTGAGGAGACTCAGCCGAGGCTCAGGACTCAAATCATTGACTCCGCTGCCTGAGGTCAGGGACAGAACATCTGTGGTCTCATTTCTGGAAAACACAGGGTGGATATTTATCAATAAGTGTCACAGGTGACTGGATTCCTCAAGAATCCATTCTCAGAAGGGTTAAGGCTGCAGTAATGAGATGGTTTCAATCTCTGCTTATTTTGACTGGCATTACTTTCATTCTTACAGAGCCAAACTAATTGTCAGTTTTCAACTATTTTGTAGGTTTTGTCACTTAAAAACAGCATTTGCAGGTTTCTGGTATAACCTAGCTTTGAATAATTAGCTTCTGCAGAGATGCAGTTGACAAAATCTTGTCCTGATCTTTTTCTTTTCTTTTTTTTTTAAGAGACAAAAATATCCTTCTCAATGTGTACATTTCACATACCAAAACTCCAACCATCTCTGTAAAGTTTTCTCAAGACAGTAATTTGGAAGAATGATACTGGTATTTTGTCTACTTTCATTTTAACTTACCTATTTAATCGAAAACAAAAGCTTTAAAAGATGCCCATTTTAACATTTATAACTAAAATTAAGTAATGCAAGTGAAGCCATCTGGCTAACATCCAGGGAATATTTACTATGTGTTTAACCTCAGGCTAGACACCAATGATCAGAAAACCTACCCATTGCCGGAAGGAAGTCATAGCCAAGTCTAAATCCTAAAGCTCCTGAGCACTTGCTCAGGACAGTAAGTGGGCTACACGCTTTAGCTATATCACAAGTTTATCTTCCCAACAACTCTTTAAGGTCTCGTTATCTTGTTTTACATACAAGGCTCGGTGGTTAGTGAGCTCAAATAAAATCTTGGGGTCCTCGGGTACTTTATTTTTAGTATCATGGTGCTCAGGCTCTGTCAAACCTGGTATGCAGCGGAGGCTAACCTTGAACTTTGATCTTCCTACTTCAACACCTCAAGTGCTGGTATTAGAGGTGTGTGTTTACAGGTGTGTAGCACACCTGATTTTCGTGGCACAGAGGACCAAAACCAGGGCTTCTTGTGTGCTATCCGCTATTCACGCACCCAACTACAACACATCCTTAGGACCAGACCTGTCCTCATTCCAGACTTAAAGCTATGAAGCCCTACCCATCCTCCTCCATTACTATGACGTTGTAGCTGAAGGCCTACAAAGGGCTCTTGGATGCTCCCATTGCACCTGCCAAGGCTCTCCTTGATTCCCACCGCAAAACTCCTCCTTCCCAAAGTAAGCTGATTCTCAGCAACTTCTATAGGCATCTATAGGTGCCCTACTGCATGCAGTATACACTGGAGGGGATTCAGGACTCAGGGCTCTCCAGATGGGCGCAGGGGAGAGTGTAGGAACAGCCCCAACGGTGAGCAGCTGCATTTACTGCCCATTCCAGCAGGACAAGGCTCCAGAGACTCGGAGAAGGTTTCCAAGTGTTTTACAATTTGAATAGCTGGACCATTTAAAGAACAGTGAAGATGAGTAAGGGCAAGACATGGAGGGAGGGAGAGAGATGACCTAACAGACTGGCATGAGTGGCTTAGCCTCTGCACCCACCGTTCAGGGTCCACCCAGATGCAGCTCTGGAACCCCCTGGAACCCCCCAGAACCCAATACCACCTTGTGCTCCACTCCCTGGCTTCGCAGAGGCTTGGAAAATGAACCAAGAAATCTGAAAGAAAAGAAAAAAGCCACAGAAAATGCCTCCAACTGTTTGATTGTATAAATAGTTTATTTCTGTTCACAGCATCATATATGCATTAAAAAAGGGGGTAGAAACAAGAAGAGAACGGTGAAGACAGAGAACTACAGGAAAACCAAAAAACGGAAGCCAGGGGTTCCAACATCGTCAGAGTGTGTGAAGAGAACAGCTCGAAATCAAAACCGGCCTCCCCGTGTCTCAGAAACCATTCCCGACCTCACTCGGGGAGGCTGAATTCCCCCAGGGGAACCCAGAGGGCATTAGTAGCACTAGGTCTGGCTGGCGTGTGATGGGAGCTCCCCCTCGGCACCACCACAGTTACCGTGCTAGGCTCCCTGTCGTCACAGATTAAATGGGCATCATTAGGTCAAACATTACAGAAATCAACTGAGACTCTTAACTATTTGCTGATACACCACAGGGCTTGACTTCACTGTACAACGACTAACAGTCACCTGCACCCTTAAGTATTGATAGTGGCGGGGAAAAAAATCACAAACTCATCCCGAGCCATCGTTCAGGCAGGCCACGATCGGAACACTGACCTGGAACTCAGGTATCGTAAGCACAGGAAGGTTACGTTATTTGGCATATGCAATGTCACAAAATAAATATATTATTCTCTCCATATTGTGGAACTACCAAAATGTCAAAGTGCTTAAGAAATTGTGAAGAAAATAAAAGAAGGTGGATTTTTTTTTTTTTTTTTTTTTAGTAATTCTATACACAATCTTCAGACCATGGGACCAGCCCACGGAGAAGCCGGTTCTCCACGTTGCTGTGTAAACAGATCTTGCAGGCCGCTCACCACTGCTTAGCTGTACTGACCGATTACAAAAAGACCAGTAGCAGGAGGCTACCAAACACACAAGAAAGGGGCGCGGGCCGCTAGATTCCAGCTTCAAAAAAAATCTCCTAAGGACTGGGTTTCAAGCAGGAAGCCATGATTTCTGCCTATGGTTCTTAAATTGACTCCTACAGTGTCAAGGACAATAGGGATGGGATGGGCTGACTCACAACCACGGCCTCTTTGCACAGCAATGTGTCGCCATGGAGGGAAACCAAAATCCTACCCTAAAACATGGATTCAGAGGGGAAATTAAAAAACAAAGTCAGTTGTAAATCTCTTTTGATACTGTGTTTCAGGATAAATGACAGCTTTTAACAAGCCAGGATTCACTCCTGATTATAAAGGATTTTTTTTAAATTACATTAGTAAAAATATGTCTTTATTCTTTCACTTTATCTATTTTTCCAAAGCCTTTCAAGTAAACTGTGAAGTGCCTGAGTACCAGTGACTATGACGTCACGTGTCTGCTTCCTTTTCATCTCAAGCACTCATTGTTGTTTGCGTTTAACCGGAGTGCTGGCTGGCTCCAAGGCCAGGCCAGCTCCCACAAGGGTGAATTCCAAAGGACTTCATCCTTCAGACTTTTCCTCTCTTCAGTTCCATGCAAACGAGGTTAGCATTTACAAGGTGGGGTTTTATTCTTTTGGTGAATGACATCAAATACTCTAATGACACATTTTGAGTAAAATACTGAAACCAGATAGGCTACAAAGACCCAGCTCAGAAATCTGAACGTGTCTCCACTTGCAGTGCCGAGGGCCACAAAAGGGCAGTCTTTTCTCCTAAGGTGAAGATTATTCATTTGTGTAAATGTTTTTTTTAAACATATCTGAAACAGATCACCACGTGGTTAGAATTACCAGATTCCCCACCCTTGTAAGAAAACCATTTTGCAATTCAGCACACATCTGTAGCTGGTGTGCTCCTGCAAACCAATCAGTAGGCTGAGAGAATTTCAAATTCCACACAGAGGGTCCAGTTTTTATGCCAATTATGCAGTATGGAGGGAGCGCACTCACACACACAGACACACACACACAGCATTAATGTCAAGAACCTCACCCTTTAAACACCTGTACTGCCACCGCCTCCAGTGGTTTTCTGTTTTTCTTTGTTTTATTGGTCTCTTTATGTGATAATGACCTACACATGGCCAGGGCCTAGGCCATCTGGAAAAGGTCTCATCCCAGGCTGAAAAGCAGTTCTCAACAAAAACCTCACACACCCACCCCTGGAAAGTGGCGTCTTCCAGGCCATTCCCAGCCAAGGCCAGAGCAGAGAACCCTGGGCTCCCCCAGCTGCCGCATGGTCCAAGGCAGTCCTCTGAATGGCCCCAAAACACCACCTCCTCCGGGCCCAGAGCAGAACAAATGAAACTGCAACAGGGGCCTGCCCTGTGACATAAAATTACTCAGTTTCCACAGCTCCAGAATGCAAGGAGCGGTCATCCCCACCCCCCCATCGGTACACCCCAGCAACCCGCTCCCACGGGGGTATCCCCAGGGTTCTGTGTGAACTGCATACCTCAGGTAACTCACACGTGATTTCCCCCCGCAGTGGGGGCTGGGCAGCCTGAACTTCTGGCCCCGCTGGAGCAAGAAGAAATCGCTTTTGTCTCTCTGACATCCAAGCTTCCCACCTGGGGCCAGAGGGCGCACCCCGGGACCCTTGCGTCCTCACGTCCACTCCCCACGGGTCCCCCCCACCATCGGTAGCTCAAGCATTTAGACAAAAGGTCCCCTGAGCTGGGGTGGGGAGTGGGGCAGGTGGCGAGGCGGGTGGTAACGCAGCCTCCACACCCAGGAGAGGGTTTCGTCCCCAAGTACCGTCCGCGGATGCAGAGATCGCGTTTTAAAAATTCGAAGCATCGCTTTGGTTCGTTGTCTTTGTTCGCGGGTTCTCGCTCACCCAGACGTCCATTCATTCACTCACTGGCTCGCTCGCTCAGCCTCGCTCCTGCTCGCTGCCGGGCGCATTACCGCTTCTTCTTTTGCTTGAGAGACTTCCTGCGTTTCAGGATCATCTCATAGAGCTTGTCCATGCCCTCGGTGAGGCCCTCGCCGATGATGGCGCAAGCCGGCTGGACATGGTAGGTGGTGGCCGGGATGAGCTCATGCAGCGCCAGCTGCTTCTCAATCTCGGCCACCGGCAGCGACTTGGGCAGGTCCTGCTTGTTGGCGATGACCAGCAGCGGCGTGCCCTGGTTCTCGGCAAACTTGGTCACCTTGTGCAGCTCTGTCTTGGCCTCCTCCAGGCGGTCCACATCCACCGAATCCACCACGTAGATGATGCCGTCCGTGCAGCGACTGTAGGACTTCCACAGCGGCCGTAGCTTCTCCTGGCCGCCCACGTCCCAAAAGTGGCAGCTGATGCCCTTGGCGGTGCCGTTGCTCAGTTTGATCTTCTCGGTGTTGAAGCCGATGGTGGGCACCGTGTTCACGAACTCGTTGAACTTGAGCCGGTAGAGCACCGTGGTCTTGCCGGCCGAGTCCAAGCCCAGCATCACGATGTGCAGGGACTGGAAGGCCGAGATGTTGGAGGAGATGTTGCCCATGGCTCCTCGCTGCGGCGCCGGCCACTGCGGCTGCGGCGGGAGGGCGCCGCCCCCTGAGCAGTCACGGGCCCGCTGCGGCCGGGCGCACCTGGGCTCCGCCCGCCGCTGGACCCGGCGGGGCCTCGGCGTCCCCGGGGCGCGGGGCCAGGAGCGCTTAGACCCGAAGGAGCCCACTGCCTGGCCCGCCCGGTGCGCGCCCCGCGGGCATCCTTCTCCGGAGGCTTTGTCTCCCGCGCAGCCGCCCTGGACGCACGCAGCGGGGTCGGATGCCCGCGCCCCGCGCTCGGGCCCGGCTCGACCTGCGGCTTCCCCGCGCCGCGGCTCCGCAGCGGCTCTGGCTTCGGCTACCCGGGACCGCCGCCGAGGCGCGGGCTTCCCCGGCGTCGCGGTCGGCGCTGCTGCCTGGTCGTCCCTGCAGTACTCACGCTGCTGCCGCCGCCGCCGCCTCCGCCACCAGCCCGCTGCGGCCGCCACGCCAGCCCCGCCCCCGGGCCCGCCCGCCCGCCACGCCCCCTTCCCGCCACGCCCCCTTCCCGCCACGCCCCTCAATCTCCCGGGGTCAGGCGGGGTTTTCTAGGTCGGTTGCGCGTTTTCGCGCGCTCCGGTCGTTCGAAACTCGCCGGGGCGACCCTTCCCGCCAGCCGCGGGCAGACTGGGCGAGGGCTCTTCCTCCCAATCCGGTGACGCGTCTTTTAAAAATAGCTCCCGGCTCCGGATCCTCCGCCCCGGGCCGAGCCCGCAGCTGGCCCGGCAAGGGCAGCGTCTGCAGAGGGCTGGGACGGTGAGACTGCGGCACCGACACCGCAGGGCAGAGGGCAGGGGCGACCTCCTTGAGCCTGCCACCTCACCCCCACCCCCACCCCATTCCCACTGCGTGGTCTCCTGTGTCCCGGGCCCTAGTCCTCCTCGATGCAAAGCTCCCTATCTTGCCCTAACTGTAGGGGGTGCTCGGGAGGCTCAGCTGGGAGTACCATCCACCTGCCTAGATAACACTAGGCAATTCCCTCTCAGACACCCTGCCTGTCGGCTTGTTTTATGCTCCCCCAACTCTGCTGGCATCCCGGATTAGAGTCTTGAGAAGGCACGCTTGAGAACTACCTACCTGCAGACCATGGCAGAGGGATGGAGTGGGCAGGGCATGGGGCTTGGCCTAGATCACCTGACCAGTCTCCAGGGAAGCTGGGAGATTGTGAAGTCTTTAGCTGGAGCTGGTGGTGCGATGGGTTCCATTTTGTTTCTCCCCGTTCGGTGGTTTCACTCCACCTTGTAAAATGAGTGACCCAAAGATTTGGTGGTGCTGGGAACTGGAGATGGCCAGCCAAGAGACAAATGGTTATATTTCTGTAGATCAGGCTTCTGGGACAGAAAACGTAGCCAATACAAACCAGGGGAAGAAAATAAAAATATTTATCATTTGTGAATTTAAAAAAATCATAAATATATATTCATATGAACCTCCCTTTCAAATGCGAGGTTATAATACATGATTGTATGAGGAAATCACACCTGTTCAATTCCATCTTTGAAGTCCCACAACTGTAATAGCCTGTCCAGGCTTCCTCCAGCTAGACTCAAGCCCAGGGACTGGTCGTGCTCAAAAAGTCCATGCATATTATCTGTCCACTGTGCTAGAGGAGGAAACGAGGTCTGAGTGCTGGAATTTGCAAAGGGGGACCTCAATGCCGACAGCTTGCCTAAGACCAGTGCTGCCTTGCTTCTGAGATTCCTTCCCTCGACAAGGACACAGAATTTTGTCTCAAATTAATCTCAAATTGTATTGGCAAAGGGTAAATATATTAATATGTTCCCTGATACAAGAAAAAAAAGTTTAGGATGAGGATTTTCTCTTTCTGGCATGGCTGGATCCAGGAGCTCACAACTAGACACTAGACAAATCTTTACCTGTCCTCAGTTTCCCTCTGTGCTGATCCTTTTAACTCCTGTGGCCTCATAGGCCTTTTGTTTAGAACCTAGAAGGAACCTAGATATCCAATAACTTTGACAAAAGCTTAGAACACACATTTCTTTGGTCTGCCTAGTCTGCTTCGAACCCAGCATTTCTAAGAACAGAACACATTGATAACGTGGGTCCTAAACTGTGGTGGATCCCACAGAAGAATACAGGGACCCAAAAGACAGGTAAGCAAATAGGAATGACTCAAGAGGCAGTGAAAATGGCAGTGGGTGCCTGCAGCCACTCGTGGATAACCTGAGTTCTATCCCTGGGCCCTACATGATGGAAGGGGTGAAAAGACTCCTGAAATCTTCTGACCTCCACATGTGCACGGGTGTGCAGGCACATACACACATACTAAACCTACTTAAAAATCTTTTTTAATGAAAGTAATCCAGTTTAATTCATGTCACCTCTCTTACTAGGAAGTCAGGATTTTGTGTTTGGGGAGGAGTTGTCTCAGCTCTCTTGCAGGCATGCCCTAGAGAGAATCTCCTCTAGAATGAGTCTCTTCTTGATTTTTCCTCTTTCCCAGGCAGGTACTGGCTACCTTGGGATCCGTATGTGTAGCCCAGGACCCAGGCGATTTGGAAGGGAGGGGCCCGCATGGGACTTCTCATCGGGTTCTCACAAATGACCTCAGCATAAGATACTTGGTCCCTCTTGCTTCCATCCCCAGCTGGAGCTTGCTTTCACTTTGGAGGAGTTGGAGGGTAGTTTTGGTAAGATATGGCATTTGCCTTCTTCATGCTATTCTGATCACGGCAAACTGCAGTCCTTGCATTTTTCACCTCATGGTGGCACTCAGCAGTTAAGGGCTGTCTGTTGTCCAGTACAAAAACACAGATTAATAGACACTAATGGAGCCTTCCAGAAGAGAGCCATTACACAGCCACTCACTGTCTTTGAATAGCTGTGGCTCTACATTCTAATTTTGCTCACCAGGTGATAAGCTGATTTTACAGTTGATAATTTAACTCCTAACACATAAAAACGTCATTTGGTTGAGGCAACTAGGAATTTCCTTCAAATGTGAATTTCAACTGAAAAGCCCTGGAGTTGTGGGAAGAAAACAAAACAAAAAACTCTTTACTAACTCCACCTGCCAGACTCTCCAGACCCGCCACTAGCCTCGTTTTCAATGAATACTCCTTCAGGAGGATATCCTGGGCCCTGTTGACATGAAGGACTCCATCCATTTCTTCACCAACCTGGAGCTTCCATTTCTGAAATGTGCCTAACCCATGGGGTACTTCTGAGGAGTAAATGAGATCACAAAGGTGGTGTTTGGCTGTGTAACTGGTACGCACAGTGCCCAATAAATAGTACCTTTGATAAAGAACACGAGGCCACTCCAGAGACGGTGGCGGCCCTACCGGTGTATTCCCCCTGAGCGGACACCACTGGCTGCGCTACACCTCCCTCTTGATTTTAATTAACCAGACCAAAACATTTCTGAAAGATCAGTGAGCGCCCTGCCTGGCCTGCGATGGATTTCTCAAGAGAGTGGCTCATCAAGAGATGAGCTGTTTCCGCTCATCTCCTTCCACGAGACTTTACATCCAAAGAGGGATTCAATTACTTCAAGCAAACAGAATGGAATAACTTGGCAGTACCTTTGAAATTGCATCCTATAAGATTCTTTTTCTCTCCTTTGAGGGATTTAGAAATACGTTCTTCAGTAGCTCTTCAGTGACTCTAGCTTGGTTAATAAAGTAGGAAGTTACATAGTAATTATCTTTGCTTTCAGTGAGGCTAATAGTATAAAATGGAAAGGCTGAGCCTCCGGGCCATCTTTTACCATGGACCAGGATCAAGATCAAAACATGGGCACTTACCACTGCACGCATGCGCACTTGCCAGGATGATTACGGACTGGAAACCTGCTGCGCAAAGCGGGGGCTCAGAGTCACAACCTATGCCTGATTGTGCTGATGCCCGAGCGCCCTCTACCGAGATGTTCGAGAAATAGCAGGAGGCCCTTGCAAAGGAAAAGACCAGAACACATTTGCTGAGAATTGATTGTCCCTGCCCTGGCTGCCTGTGGAAGTACCAGCACTTCCCCGACGTAACGTCTAAGCTTAGATAACCAAGAAAGCAGGGGTGCGTTTGGGCCCAGAGCGTGGGGAACACCTGCCGGGGCCCCTGCAGCTTGTGGAGAGTAGGGGTGGACGGAAAGTGTCTCAGGAGCCTAAGAGGGTGGGGGGTGGAGGTCGGGGGTAGGGGAAGGGGGATGGGAAGGGATGGGAAACCGGCCACCAGGACGCTGGGATGAGACTAGAGATGTGAAAAAGCCAGTGGCTGGACCTGACTCAGCACAGGGGATTATGTGGGGATAATAATGGGGATGCCCCGAAAATGGGACATGGAAAAGGTGTGGAAGAAGGCAGCGGGATGGCGAGGGTGAGGCCCGCAGTAGCCCTGGTAGGGCCTTGATGTTAGGGCCTCGATGAAGAGCCACCCGCGCAAGTGTGGAGGCCTGGTGGGCCATCAGGTCCCCACCATTGTACAGCCTCCACACTGAGTGAAATGCCAACACCGGGCGACTGTAAGATACTCAAGTTAAAGGAAGGCTGGTGGCTGGGCAGGCGGCAGCAGAAACCAACACGAATGTCCCATGCCTGGGGCTTTAGCTTTATCCGAGCAGAGAAGAAGCTGGGAATAAAAAGGATCTGCTGCTCAATTATCCATTCAAGCTCATGATTTTAGCAAAAATGTCTTTTCAAAGTCGGAGTGCGTTATTTTCAATTTTTGCTGGGCCAGGAGGCTGACACAATTCAGTTTCTCGTGTTCCTAACAATTACTGCTGCTAGGGGCTGGTACTCTGTCGCTTATTTTGGTAAAAAGAAAAACAGCTGTGTACAACCTTCTCCTCTCTCCCTCCCCCAGTGCCGGGAGCGGTAGCGCACACCTGTAATCCTGCCATTCTGGGAGGCAGAGGCAGGTGCATCTCTGCAAGGTCGAGGCCAGCCTGGTCTACAAAACAAGTCCAGGACAGCCAAAGCTACACGGAGAAACCTGTCTCAAAAATCCAAACCAAAAGTAAAAACAAACAAAAAAACACCCCATTAATCTTATCCCTAACTAGGAGAACTCGGCAGCTGTTATTCACCAGTACTAGTTTCATTTTTAAAAGACAGGCTGTCTCCATGTTTCTAAGGCGAGCTGTACCTCCTGGCTCAGCCTCCCAAGTCCCAGGATTACAGGTGTGTGCCTCCATACCCAATTTTCAAATATAAAAACAAACAACAAAAAATTCACAAAATAAACAATAACCAAAAAAAAAAAATCAAATCAAATCAAAACAAAAAGACACCAAACCTTCTTCTAAGCCTTAAGTGTTATCTATTAGATGGATTTTGACAAGGACTTCGAGACACTAACGGGAGAGGCCAGGACTGGGGGAGGGGGTGCGGCTGCTGGGATAACAGGTTCTCATGGGAGCCACATCTTTTGAACTGAAAGAAGAAAGGCTTAGTGTGA